TTTAATATTTATTTTTTCTTGGCTGCTGCCTGTCATGCAGCCCTCAATAGCTTGCCAAAGCTCAGTAAGCAGCCCTTCACCCAAAAAAACTGACCACCCCAATAGTCCATCACGTCTGGCATTTTTCAGTCACTTCACTTAACAGCTAAGTACAGACAGCCAAAAAACCTGAGGCTGAATTGATTCAGTCTCTGCAGGTTAGTCTGAGTAGCAGAGATTAAATTGAGAAACAGCTGGACAGACATTAATTTTTGATTCAGGAAACACAGCCACACGCCTGCAGTGACTCAGACCAGAAGCCGGGGGGCACTACAGCACAGCTCTCTGGCACATAGGCAGCATGAGCTGTGCGTTCGCTTCCTCTTCCTGCTGCCTCTGAGATCTCTGAGATTTGCAGTCCAGAATTACAGCAGTAAGACACTGCAGAGTTGCTCACCACTTCCTCTTCCTGCTTTCAGGTGCCTCTGGGATTTGTAGTCCACAGTCACAGCCAGTAGTAAATTTTTGGTAGGGCAGGGCAACTCTGAACTTGGGAGAAGGAAGTTTAACCACCCTCCCTGGCCCCAGACCTCAGCCAGGGTTTGCCTGGGGGCAGTGGTGGTGCATTGGGAGTTCACGGGGGTGCACGTTCAACCCGAGAGCACTGGTGCACCCCCTAACAGCCCATGCTCGTCCCCCTTCCTGTGTGCATCGGCCGGGGAGTGGGGGCACTGCGGCCGCTTTGTGATCAGTGAGATGGGTCGCAGGGAGGCCAGTTACATGTTTAAAGCAGTTTCTGATGACTTAAACAGTTTGTATGCAACTTCTGTCCCTAGCCAATGTATCAATATCATCAACAGAAAGAAAGATTTAGATCCAAGTCTTTTTTTCCCTTAATTCCATTCATTTCAGACTAATATATGGTTGATTTCATAACTTGGTCCACCTACACTGACAATTCTAAGTGCTCTAATGGAACAAACACTACAAGTGACACTGATTTTGGAGAATTCACATTCACCAAGCCACTTACAATGTTAGTGTCTCATTTGCCATTTACCCTTAATTCCAAATTTAGGTAGAGACTGAGGGTATGCTGTACATAGAACAGTCCATAAATCAGAGAAACCCTTTCTGAACTTTCAGAACATCCCAGATATTCCATAGCTTTGAAACAGAAATGGCCTAAGACCTTTGAGAAAGAACCTAAAAACCATAAACCGAAGTTAGGAATGGCAACCACTGCTACAAGCCAAGTAGACGAATGTTGTAGAGCAAAGTGTGCATCCAGTTGGGATTCCTACTTTGTCAGATTGAGAGTGATGCCAAATATCTAGCTCCAGTTATTCAAGAAGCAACAGGTCAGCCCATAACTAAAAAGAGGTCATTTAAAGAAAAGGATTTTCAGAAATTTTACAAAAGCCAAAATGATGTAGTATTCATAGGAAGTCTCTATCCTTTTATAGTATCTTGGTCACAAAAATTATATAACAAAGCTTGTAAGCGAATGTTAGATATGACATGTAAATACAATCATGACACAATATATATCACTTACTCCTTGACAATGCAGATAGTCAACAGTTTTGGTTATAGTATACAATACAGCACTAGCTTCCCGTTCTGAGAAAAACTTTTGTCTGAGAATTCGATCGAGAAGCTCTCCTCCTTTCATCAATTCAGTGACAAGGTAGATGCATCTACCATCATCGTACACCTGCAGGAATTTAAAATATTAATAATTCCAGCAAATGTACATACAGTTAAATAAGCATCCCAAGCAGAGTGAGCACTGCAGGGGTAGGGAAAGGTAGTGGTGGGGCAGTGGCGGGGGGGGGGCACTGGATGGGCTTAATCACCATAGTAAATACAAAGCACAGACTGGGAGTGTGGAGTTTACTTCTGCAATTCAAAATCTGCACCTCATTGCCTAAGGAGTAAAGAAACTGTGTGTAATGTTGCAAAATTTGGGATAGTGAATTATGAAATTATGACTCAATTAAAATAGTTTTGGTCTATAAACCTGTTGCATTAGGAAGAAGCACACTACTACTCCCTATTTTTCCTGCAATTTTCAGTCAAGGGCACCTTGAACAAAGATATGTGAAGTGTTTTTTCCCCCCTTATATTAGTAGAGGTGAACCAGTATCAGTTATTTATTGGATTAACACCAATAAAAGGGAAATAAACATTAATTGGCTATTGGCTTTTGTTAGCCAATAATGTTCTCTGATAATTAAATTATGCTGGGGCCACCAGGTACCTGGGTTCCCTCCCATGAGCCAAAGTGGCTCAGGATACCCCCCCCATCCCCTCACTGGCGGGCCAAACTAGGTCAGAGTGGAGCAGCTGCAGAGGTGTTCCAGGTGCTGGCGCGGCATGGACTGGGGATGGGGCAAGCACTGTAAGAGGCGCCAAATGCTGAAGATGTGACTTGGGTGGGGAGGGCCAGCATAACTCAACCCATGGTGCTTAGGGGTCTGTGCCCCTGGGGCTGAGCCTGGAAGGGGCTGGAGCAGATGCTCCCGCCCGCTGTGTGCAGCAGTGTCTTTCCCCTGGTGGGAAGGACTCCTTCAGGAGTAGGGGTGGTGCTTTAATTAGAGTGGCTCCATGAGATGCTCTAATTTAAAAAGTGCCCAGAGACCACACAGCTCTGGACAACCTCAGGCTCAGGCAGCTGCCCCCACACTGAGGTTGAAGGGCAGGAGCTGCAACTGGCACAGGGCACTTTCACATGCACTTCAGAAGTGGGGGGGGACAGTGCTTTAAGTGACATCATGTCTCCTGCTTTAATGTTCTTGTGTTTCGAAATGGCAGTGGGGACACTTGAACTAAAGCTCGTTCAATGAGCTATATTACTAATTATCGGTTATCGGATCAGTATCAGCCAATATGGCTGGTTAATAATCAGCTACTGGTATTGGCCAAGAGCATCTTTACTGATGTACTCCTATATATTAGATCATCAATATGTTAGCTACTTATCTGAGATAAGGATAGGAAACACAAATTTCCACTATGGGTAAAGGCATATGGGTTAAGCATTTATCAGTTACGTTAAAGCATCCATGAAAGCTTTAAATATATACATTATATATAGTTTTCTTAAATTTAAAAATAAAACAAACACTCGATCAGTTCTCCATTTACTAGCTACGAAGAGGAACACATATCTGCAAATCTTTAACTTGTTAATACTTTCTGCAGACGAAAAAAGAATGATAACAAATAGTACTCAATGAAAAGGAGAAACTTGGGGTCACATCCAACCAGTTTTCCTATTTACAGTTTTTAATAAAAATCAGTCAAATTTGAGAGAGATACATACATCTTTTAAGGTAATAATATTTGGGTGCTGTCCATAACGCATCAATATTTCAATTTCTTCTGAGGGATCTCTTTTACTTTTATCAATAATCTGTGAAATAAATTTGTGAAAAAGATCCTAGTTTAATTACTTCTTAAGGCAAAATGTATTAAAATATTCTTTATATATGCTTGAAATGAGATGCAATACAAGTTAAAAAATGCTTGTCATTAAAGAAGGCAGTTTAGACTACACACTTAATGTCCTAATGATTTATTTACCTACATTTTTCATTTTTACAACCAGTCATAAACAATTTTTATCTGACTTGTTTACTTAATTCTTGAAGTTAATATAGCTACAAACAAGTGAATTTTGAAAACAACTCTAATATAAAGAATGGAATTCACTGAAAAGCAGCCTAAAAATTATTTTATCCTTGTAGATGGTACTCATCTCACCTCAGTTGTGCTTTTATTGTATACCAGAAAAAGAAATAGGAAGCACTGTTTATTTTATCTTTACAGCACAGCTTGCATTCTCAGAATTACATTTCAAATAACTAATCGCATAGATCTCGATAAAGTCTTTTTGTAATAGAGATAACACTCTTGTTTCAAGAAGAAATGATAGAAGCTAATATACAGTATAATACAGTACTGTATAATTACACAAATACTAAAGCAGAATTTACATCAATTACCTTTACAGCAAACTCCATATTTGTGGCTGTGTGTACACATCTCTTGCAAACAGAGTAGGATCCAACACCAATATCCTCCTTTAATTCATATACTTCAGTGAACTGTGTGCTGTTTCCATGAATTTGCTGTCAAAATACAAAGAGTCTTTAAAACTTGCATGATCAGGAGGCAGCAGGGCAGGCCCTATGAGGAGAGGCTATGAGACCTGAACCTGTTCAGCCTCCACAAGAGAAAGCTGAGAGAGGATCTGGTGGCCATCTAAACTGGCCAAGGGAGACCAGCAGGCAACGGGAGAGTCTCTGTTCCCCCAAGCACTACTGGGAGTAACAAGGAATAACAGCCATAAGTTGACAAAGAGTAGATTCAGGCTAGACTTCAGGAGGCACTATTTCACAGTCAGGGAGGCTAGGATCTGGAACCAACTTCCAAGGGAAGTGGTGCTCGCTCCTACCCTGTGGGTCTTCAAAAGGAGGCTAGATAGACACCCTGCCAGAGTCGTTTGACCCCAGCATTCT